GTATCAATTAACACTTTTATTACACAGACACATCCTTTTTTGCTATTGGGTAAGCACTATTTCCGAAACTCTTCCTCACAAGACGGTACTTAGTGAAGATACAAAAATGTTACGATACTGGTAGCAATAGCGAATAATTATTGCCAACTTACTCTCAAAATTTATTTGAATGTCAAATTCCAATACCTTTTCGTGAACTTCACATCCTGATCTATTTGCTTTCTTGGGGATGCAGTGAATGCACGACAATTCTATACCGTCATTCCCATGCTATAAGAAATTTCAGCAAAATTCGTTGATAGCTGTTTGATTTTTCTGGTGAGAAATGAATCAAATGGATTAAAATATTGTAAAACTCCAAACCGTTCCATACGCATTAAAAAATAAGACATAAAGCTATTTTTCATATTCTTTAAAGTAGATATTTAAGCAGGGCCGTCTTGTCGAATGGGCTAATTCGACTGTAGCCCATGGGCGCCATGGATTCAAGGGCCCCTATAAAGTTACTATACTGAATTTATTTAATTTTGAACCAAAAAATTATTTAATTAGAATTTTAAATATGAAAGGCTCCAATTTACCAAATTGTACGACGTTAATTAGAGAACACGTGACTTTTTTTTTTTTTTTGTTCTTTAATTTTTTAAGAGGGTAAAAATTTTCCTTGGGCAAAAGGCGCTTAAATTCTATAGTTTACAGTTCTGAAGATTCACCAAAAAGAAATCTAGCCCAGGGTCCTCACATTTGTTAAGACGGCCCTATAATTTGCTTATAATCATAGAAATAGTAATTTTAAAAAAAAATATCTTCATTGAAGTCGTCGTATTTCAACTGTTTCGTTAACTGACACCACACGCTCCTGTGCTGCCATCTATTGAGCTGGTACCAAAGCTAATGTTAGAAGCGAACTAATCTCTCCAGCTTTGTGTGATTCCTTTGGATTTAATTGCGTGCTTTTTGCGGAAAATGTTGCGATTCCTTGTGTGTTCTGTGCAACGCCGCGTGCCATGATGGCGCGCTCAAAACTTATGGATAATGAGGTAACAAATTATCTCATAGAGGAAAGTAAATATATGGATATAATTCTGATCCTCGGAAGTAAACTACTTTAAGCCCAGTTTTGCTGATTTTGATGCTTTTATCGTATTTGCATCTATGGATGGGCTGAGTGTCGTAGTTGTACATCGAAAAGCACAAAAAGATAATCACTCTCGAAAAAAATGAATTTTGCATTGCAATATTTTGCACTCTGTGTCTTCTTTTGGCTCCCCTGTAAAATGTGAAAATTCTTAATTAAGATAATTTACCTCTGATGTACAGAATGAGGAAGTGCAATCCTCAGCGTAAACGAATGATTCTCCTCCATGCCAGAAAGCATCAGTGCCCTTAAAGCGGGCCATTCACCGTCGCTCCCTTTTAGAATTTTTGGAACACTGGACGGAAAAACCCATCGCCAAGGTCGAAAATCTATGAAATTTGGAGCAAATGGATTGGAAGTGGTGGAATTTCAACGAACTCAAAATCCAAAACTCCATCCACCGATTCCAATTTGGAACCTCGATGCGAGGGTAGCGGTAAAACAAAGGATCTGCCTACATTGGGACCTCGCGTCGATGTTAGAAATGAAACTCGAAATCCCCCGTGTGAGGGAGGAGGAGTGTGGGTAGGAAGAATTCTGCGACTTTGAAAACTGTCTCAAAACAAACTTTGGAACATCCGCGAATGCTTTGCCTAATTTTTGGACTAAAATGGGCGGGGGAAAAACGGTTGTAGGACAAATAGTATAGCTTAGCCTTCTTGTGAATGCCCAGCTTAAGAAAGATGAGCTTGTAGCAGGACTTGGTGAACTTCAGCTCCACTAGGTGCACGTACTCCTCTCAGAGAATATACAAGAAATTTACAAACTAGATAACTCTGAAACTAACAACTCCTGCTACTCAACCCCTAGTAGTACGAGGATAAGAATGATCGGAACTTTTTGAGTCCAACCAAGCATCCCTCATCACGATATCCCCAACCCGCTATTACACTATGCGGAATCAACTACGGTTAATGTTGATTTCCATTTATTACTTTCAATTAATTTCATCATCATCTATAACTCACCGAAGATCTCAACCAACTTCATTATGGACCTAGAAAATTTATATGGATATAACTCTGCAGGCAACTTTAATCGTAAGAATTGAGGCTGAAATTGCTTCAGCACGGAGCAAGTTCAAAAGAGGTTGTAATTATTTTCTGAATTTCTAGATCTGAAAATAAATAGCCCTGGTACCCCGAACTACTACAGCTACAGAACGCCGCCCCATGCCCCCGTGACTGGTGCCATTACGGCACCCGAACCCTTTGAATTGACATGGGAAACTACTGCAGCTACAACAGTGCATCCATTATTGACATCGCACCCAGATAGCAAAGAAGGTTGCCATTTCACTTTCCATAGACTGTCCGCGAAAGCATTTCCGCGCAAACCGTTTCGAAACCATTCCCTCAGAATTGACGTAGGAAATCTTTTTATGAACGACCTGTCCCATCGTGTGTAGCCCCGTCCGGTACAGTGGTTAGTGCGCTTGCCTTCCAACTATGAATGCGGGTTCGGAGGAATTCGAAGTTTTGCCACAATCTACAACGAAATCGTACACGTAAGTTCAATTAAAAATTAGATTAATCAAATTAATAATTAAGCTTTGATTAATTAAGATTCCTAATTGATCTAATTAATTGACATTCCAGATAACTCTAAGTTGGACTAAGATGACGTCAAAAGAAGGGGATAAAAAAAGGATAGGTGTACGGCTTCGGAGGGGGAAGGGGGGGTTGTATTGTGTCCGCCGAAGGAGGGCTCTTAAACATTTTGAAAGGCCTGAAACAAGCTTGTATTAAAAGCTTCGGGAAATCTTACTGAAAACCCTGTTTCTTGTTGACTAGCAAACCTTTCCGCTACCTTGCCGAAAGGTTCAACCCTTGTCATGGAAACCTTTGTGACAACCCTTGCCGACGACAAGGTTTCCAAAACCTTTTAAACAAGCATCCTTTGCTACCTGGGCAATTACAAGAGACGTTCCATACTTTCATACCATAGAAGCCCTTACTGAATTATCCAGCGACCATCTCCCACCAAATTTTTTAAAGACCAATAATACTACTAATAAAGTAGCATTTATTCCCCAATGCGAGAGAGCTAAAAAAATCCCACTTCACCCGGACGACCACCACCTCCTACCAACCGGCGACAGGTGAAGAAATCGATAACAAAGTTAAAAGATTTAGTAAAGCAGTGACGGCGATTCGGTGGAAAAAGTGAGGGGCAAAAAAATGTATAGGGATGTAAAAAGACCCGGGAATATACATGGATGAACAACAAAATTTATATATTTAGTTAAAAAATTAGCTATTTTCCTCGAACACTGTTGATTTGTATAATTCCTAGTTTTAAGCAGCTAAAATGACATAAAAATTTAATTTCTCCCTGAAAAAAGTAGGGAGGCAACTGCCCCCCTCGCCGCCACTGTAGTAAAGAACTCGTCAACGCACTGAAACTTTCCATCAAACCTATAAAAAATGAAGCGGATCAATCCATCGAAATTAGGAACCAAATTAAAAAATGAAGAAGGTCGACATAGGTCATAGGAATTCAGCTGAGATTCGAGAGAGAGAGAAACATCTTCAGTCGGCGCACTGTTATTTTCGAAGACTATTCGTAAAAGATGAGGAAAACTATTGATTCAGCCTAATTGGTAGTGGCTTGCATTCAAGTGTAGCAGTGACGCAATTTGTTTTCTAAGACTCAGTCTCGTTTCTTTTCTCTCGAAAACTTTCAGAAGCACGATTGCGTTTGCTTCGTCACTACGGATGAGCGGCAGAATGGTTTTCGCATTGAATCTTTCTTCTCTTCATTATATTTAGCTTTCCTGCCGATATTGGGTGCGATATAAAAAACGCGTATTTAAAGTAAGCAAGTAATTCTTCTCGGCTGCCTACTGGTTAGTGAGTTCATGCTCGTTACGTCATATTCTTCCTCCCTCTCACCAATCGCGTAATTTTTCCGCAGCTGCCAAGTATTCTTAGTTTTCCAGCCGACCTTGGGTGCCATGTAAACAATGCGTATTTAAGGTGAGCAGGTGATTCATGCTTCATCCCTCCACCTTCGTTTGGTCATGTTCATTGCGTCATTTTCTCGCTCACACTGATCGCGGAACTTTTCGGAGTGGATGTGAAGCATGCGCATTTAACGTTGAGAAGAAGAACTAGTAAAGGATGTAACCTGTTGCGTGGTAACTGAATTGTGTTTGTGTGACATATTATTTTAGAGCTTCTTCATATTATTATTCTTGCTTTCAGCTTTTTTTTATATGCTGGGATAGTTTATTAATATTAGTGGGATTGGCGAATTTGGACTGGTACCTAGATGGATTAGTACATAATTTCAATTCTATTAAATATTTGGCTGTAAAATTGGCAAATATGTCGCAACGATGTAAACGGAATTATTTTTAAGAGAAAACGCTACGTGGTTACAGTCAGAGAACAAATGTTGAGATTTAGATATCATCAAATATTTTGACGAAAGACTAATATTCCTACATATGACGTAAGTAACAAAATATGTTATATTTATTTATTTATTTAAAAAGAAAATCACACTGCAGAGAAACCTCCAGTTACAGAGTGCAGTAACAAAATGCGCATCAAACACACAAGAACAAAAATAATCAATGAATCTTAAAGATATTAAAAACTTATTAGAAAATTAAAGACTGTATACAATCGTCATAAAAACATTGAAAACATGGTATGAATATAAAAGTTATAATACTAAAACATCAAAAACTTTGTAAATGCATAAATAATTTAAAAGTTGAACACGCACAGTCACAGAAACACCAAAAGGCACAGTAGGATTTTAAAAGTTGTAGGAAAATAGTTTAGAGACAGTGTTTCGTTCGTAGTTCCCTTCTTGTAAAAATCTCGCGTTTATATAGAACTGCAACTCCTTTAGCCACCAATGAGGCTTGAACTCACGACCCCTGGTTTACGTGACCACTGACTGGTTGACGTGGTCTAACCACTGAGCTATGGTGGCATATTCTCAGATCGGAAACTTGTTTGGTTGCAATTAAACATAATAATTATATTCAAATAGTATAAAGATAAGATTAGAGTTTATTTTTTATCTAAATGTTGCTCATATTGCACCACAAACCTAAATTAGACTGTCTAAATCAATGGGACTATTATCCCGAACTAAAAGAATAGCCAAAGAAGCAGCTATAATCACTTGTAGTCCTCATCAATTGGAAGTGTAACGAGCCAAAGCAAACACACGCGCACATGCGCAGCGACATCAAATACTAGTTCAGAAAGAACAAAAACTAAGCTTACATAGTTTCATATCGTTCGTAAGGAACCAAAGGGAGAAGAAGTGATACAGTGCATAAAATGTCATACTTGAGTTCATACATTGTGTGCTGGTGTAAATTTGAGAATTAAAAAAAATCGTTTAATCGTGCTTAAAGAGATCGGTGGTTCAGTCTGAGCAGACAGTTTTTAATTAGACTGATGTCAATATTTTAAAACTGTTTTTTCTCCTACTTTAAAGTGTATTTCATAAAGAGTTGATTTAATGGTTTGAAGATAAGTAAACTGCAAAAAAATTTCTACCACTTGTTTTTTCAACATGTTCCTGTACACCTAACTTATGTTATTTGCTGGGACACCTAAGCTGCTTGGATAGCATTTCGTGTACAAAAATGTGCGGCGTACGTCGCTTTGAGTTTTAGCTCGTCACGAACTTTGACGGGATATCACGCTTTGTCCACGAAAGTTTTAAATTACTTCTCTATCACTGCGTATTAAAAAATATGAAGGTGGTTTTAATTCGGTAACCTTCCCCTGTTATATATTTGTAAGAGTTGTATGGATCGTGTTGTGTTTATTATGTGTATTAACCATTAAAAGCTCGATTTTTTAAAAATTGATTTTAAAATGTTTTTTCACTTTCATTTCTTGAATAAAAAATGGGAAAAATACTTTTAAAAAATCGCATTTTGTTTTAAGCATGGTTTATGGCTAAAAACCAGTTTGTTACCAACCGACAACAATGGGATTTATTTCAGAAAAAAAATTTCCATGATGAAATTCTATAATGTTAAACACAGATGAATTTTAATAAATAATAATATGGATAAGGAATTTCTTTCAACATTGTAGAATAAAATATGCAATTCTCAAGCGTACACACAAAGCTAAAAAGATGCAGCCTCAAGTGAAGAACATCAATTCATTTTTTATTTTTTACTAGCCGCCTTCGGCGACACGCTTGTTCGCCGGCAATATGATTTCAATTGAATCCCGCATCATTTTATATCTGTGGTTCTCGTAACGTAATTTTAAACTTTAGATTGTGGCAGATATTTAACCCATGTTCTATTAGTGACCTTGGACCTCTTCTATTCATTGCCTACATAAATGTTTATAATGGAGTCAAATAACCGACCATGTCATGTAACCTCTAATTTCATGTTGCCGGTACTATCTTCACTTTTTAGTTCCTCTTGTAAAATGCGCATTTGATTTCAACATTAAAATGGCGCAGCACATTTTATTGTCAGCGGCATAATAGCTGGATGCTGAGAAAAGAATGAAAACATAGCAACCATAACCATTCAACTAACTGGATATATTTCTTAATGTAAGCAAAACAGAAGAGCTTGATTTACAGATTTCACAAAAATTTCGATGAAATAAAATATGAAAAAAAGATGTATTAGGATATTATCTGAGATTGCAACGATGAAAGAGAAATATGCAATAAAATTAGAGTAAACATTGCACGGCAACTTCATTGATATCATTGGAAAGGTAATTTTTCGCACTTTCAGATGGTGTAAAAATAAATTTTTGTGCTGTAATATTTTCGGAAGTTATTAAGGGAAAACGCGGAAATTTCGCCTAATTTTGAATTAATTAAAATTCCAAAAAATGGCTCCAAGGTGCACATTTCCACCTTCCAAAGTATTTTTGTGCCAAATTTAGTAGCTCCAGACCCAGTGGTCTGACCTGCAGAGCGCCAACACGCGCGCACACACACACATTCTCCTTTATTATTAGTAGAGATCAGCATTCAGGCTGCCATGTGTATGTTGTAAATTGATTTAATAAAAATTTTACTGCTTATCTTATTGGCAACAATGGGCATGACAGCTTCAATCTTATTCGCAAGATTTTAGACAAAATTGGGTATGTTGCTTGAAGGCAACACTGGGCGTTTAAGGGTTAAAAGTTCGACTGCTTCAGCAGGTTTCAGAACCACTGCACGCCACTGCTAATTGGTAACTTCACAACCGATAAAATCTGGCAGAGGAACTTGCCTACAGCTTAGAACTTCATTTCCAAAATAGAGTCCGGGACCCTCTCTCTCTCTCTGCAATAAATCCTTTTTATTTGTTGCATAGATCGCATAACATTTTTAATAATGAACCATAAACTAAACAGTACAAAATAGAAAATAATTCGAATAAAAAATGTCTACTTTAAGGGAACAGTGTTTTTAAAAATTGCATTTTTTAAAATCCATTTTATTATTTGCAAGCAAACAATATCGCGAAGTCTTATAGAAGCATCCATTTTGCATTATGAATTTGAAAAATAATTTTTAAAAAGTTTTATTGTTGCAGCAAACAAAAAAATATAAAAAAACGGAATAAAGCTATCTCTCGACTGTTTCGAGAAACAGATTCCTACATCTTTTTTCAGCACGCCGATTCTTCTATGTAACGACAGAGGTATTTTCCTAAACATTCTTTAAACGAATTCAGTTTCGCTTGAGGCTCTTTCGTGAACAAACATCCCCGAAAAGGGCGAAATGTATATAAAAAAACCCAAATATCTGTTCCTGATAGTTGTTTAAAATAGCATTAGTCTGAACTTTCGAAATAAATAGGTTTCTCCCTGAATTTTCGTTACTTCTTTTACCCTCGCGGCCCGGAGCAAGCGTTTCTTTTACACAAACTCCCGCGCAGCATCGTCATAGCAACAATAAAACTTAGCTGTTATTACTTTATTTGCGTTTTGCCTCCGTCTCTGCTTCGCTCCGGGTTAAAAACCAAGTCTTGTGTAAAATCCAAATAATGATGGTGCGCATGTTTCTGTGCAGTTATGCGTTCTTATTGTTTGTTTGCTTCTTGCATTTTCCTCGGAGGTGGGCGTGCTTTCAGGACGATTTTCACTTTCTTATCTAAACAAAGAGGGAGCTTTATCGGAAGAAAATGTTTAAAGGGGAGGTAGGAAGGCAGGTGGTGCTGCAGCTAGGAAGGCATTCCGGATAAATTATTTGTTTATTCGCTGTGTTTGTCTCTGATAAGAGCTTCGTAAGTAGAACGTAATTGCAGAGCTACAAATGCATCTGCAGAAAAGTGATATTTGGGTGTATCATGAGTATTTTCGTTTACTTCCAACTTACACATCCAAAGCTTCTATCGGGCACTTGCCCACCACTTTGGTTGAATTCAAAATGCTATATGAAAGATTATTTGCCCTTCTATAATCCATACTTATCCAGACTTCTTTCGTTTATTTTGAGATCAACGGGTTTATTCTGGTACCCCTGGTTTGGG